ACCCAGTTCTGGCCACTGAGTGTGCTGGCCGCTTTTGGGAAATACGTTTGCTACTGGATAAAAGAGGAGAAGCAAGAGAGGAGAGGACTGTCACCACCACTTGCCCACTCTTTGGCTGTTGTGTGAAAATGTGATGCCCGGGGCTTGGCAGCCATTTTGTGACCATGAGGCAATAAACTTGAAAGCAAAAGGCAACAAGTGGAGGAATAGAAAGATAACGTACTTGACCTGCTAATTAAACCCAGAAGCCCCTTTCCTCCAAAATTTTAATTAAGAAACTAAGAAATATCCATATTGTTTATGTCTGCTGTTGGTTTGGCTTTCTGTAACTTGTAGCAAAAACATTTCTGGCTGACACATGCTGCTTTCCAAATGACACTAGAGCAGGACTCCCAAACTCAAGTATCTGCAGAGACCAGGCAGTGGTCGTGAGGGGGAGAAGTAGGTGGGACAGGGACTCTGGCAAGTAGAAACTTTGTGGGCGCCCCCACCAAGGGCGAGCCAGGACTCAGATCAGCGGAAATGCCAACGTGGGGTAAGGCATCTCTTGATTCCCAAAGGTTGTGAGTTAAAAATTTCAGAACATGATATGGCAACGAAGACTTGTGTGGGGGACTCTATAAGCCTCCTTGGACGTGACTCAGTTTGAGAAGGAAACACCCATGCTGGGGAGTCTTTTTCCCATCTCTGGCAAATGCAGGTGTCCTTGGTCCTGGAGAGACCCCTCTGGTCATTATGCAGAGAACGATCTTAGGAACAGCAACAGCTATGGCTTCTGCAGAACGCACTAAATGCCAGGCTCTCCCTCCGTAAGCTGCTATAGCCTTAATTCACTTCTATTCGCAAAAATGTGTGAAAGCAGTAAAAGCACACAGATTCATTTCTCACTCTAGAAGATTCTTCCCACTTCCAGATAAGGTGAGTTAATTCTGACAGAACTAGTAATGCTTTATTAGTTAAATATTTCCAGCTTCAGCAATGTTCTGCTTCCTATGGAAAACATGCAATGATTGGGGCACCTGGCTGGCTCCTGCGGGAGAGCACGGGACACTCAATCTTGGGATTGTGAGTTCGAGTCTCAGGTTGGGTACAGAGTACTCAAAAAATTAAATCTTAAAAAAAATGTGCAATGATTAAATACAATTTCTCATCACAAACAATTTGAAACAGCATTCGTAGGAACTGTGGCCTCAGGATGGAGAGCTAACATTCCAGAAGGGATCAGTGTGGAAACCAGGGGGTCAAAATGGCATCTTGTAGACGAGCCTCCCATTCGTTCATGTGCTTCTTCAGCTAACATGGATTTTCCCCTCTGTGTCAGGCACAGTTCTAGGCAGCGGGGGTCCACACAGTGAACACATAGGACACTGGTCACTGTTTATACAGATCCTACATTCCTATAACCAGGACCTTCTCGCACCTGAGGGGGATGGGGGGAGACCCTGTGCTCACACTGTCTCCAGTTCAGACTTTCCTACTGTTATGGGCTGAAGTGTATCTTCCCTCAAATTCACATGCTGATGTCCTAACCCCCAGGAGCTCAGGGTGTGACTATATTTGGAGAGACGGTGTTTAAAGAGGCAGTTGAAGTAATGTCCTCATTTGAGGACCATCTGATCCCCTACCTTGATGAAAACACAGTCTGGTGGGGGAGACAAGACCTGGAAAGCCACACGGAAAGAGGTTTTGCCTTTGCTGCAAGGCGGTGGTGTGTTAAGATTACTCTATCGTCGTGTTCCCTGCCGTTCTAAGGAGGGTACCACTCCGGAGTGTGGCCAGGCAGATGCTTGGTGTGGCTCCTGCAGGGGAAGTAGGCGCCGCCACCCCCGAAACATCAAGGTGATTGGTGACTTGCCTCGGCCCACGTCATGCGAGGGGAATGTACTGAGTGCCTCGTGGGAGCAGAAGCGACAACAGCCACTGAGCGGTCTGGCCGCTTAGTCCCGCAAACCACCAGAAGACCACACCCCAACGGGAGCTGCCCCTTTGGCTTCTAGAATCCAAAAGACCCACAGCCACTGCCCTGATGTGTAATAATAGGTGTGAAAAATAAACCACCGAGATGTCAGGGTGATTGTCCCAGCGACGATGCCCGCTGTCAGGGCTCTCTAAGCTGTCAGGGAGTTGGGAAACCACGGCTGCCCCGCACCCCACAATCTCTGGCAGGTGGCAAGTAACTTGTAGCTAACTGTGCATGCAAGTCAGCGATGAATGCCCTCGATTTTATAAACTGGAGAGCAGATTCGGATTCTCAGAGCTGTTTCCTAGGCAACCATGCTCTCACCCACGTTCCTTGTCATGTGCTCTGGAGGGGCAGGTGCATCTGGAGGGCCGGGAGCTTCCTGGATGAGGAGGGATTTGCAATCCTGGAGATTCAGGTTCAAAGCCAGGCTCTGACACGTGCCCATTGTGTAGGGTTGGGGGAGCCTCCAAACTTCTCAGTGCCTCAGTAAGATGGAGATTCTAGTAGTTCCAGTATATGAGGATCTAAGCACGAAGTTCTGGGGCACTTTCTTGTGCAGTGATAGATAACCAGACATGTATGAAATAATGTCTAGTGCCTACCCACAAACAGAACCTAGATTTTGTTCAGGTGGAGGACAGAGCTTCCTTGATCTTAATCAGCACCACCCTGGTGAGGGGGTATCCATGAGGCTCAGTACTGGCCAAAGAGATATGAAAGGAGGTCTGCTGACGAATTCTGGGAGAAGGTATTCCCATCCTTAATGAGGAAAAATTTCTTGCTTTCTGCTTTCCCCTGCTTCCTGTCTTTGAACATGATGTCTGGAGTGGCTGCAGCCATCTTGTGATAATGAGGAGCGGCCAGGGAAAATTGCAGGCTCTGAAACGGACGTTGTCAAGTTGTTAAATCAATCCCAGAGTGGGGCTGGTTCAGATCTCTGCTAGAGCACAGACCAAGGATCAGGGATTCAAGTGGATCTCAGCCTTGATTGCGGGGCTTCCCAGGCTCCAATGACAAACACATCCCTGCTCTGGGTCTGAGAAACCTGGTGAGGACAGGTTTGTGCTGGGGGAGGTGATGCTGGGGCAGGGAGCCAGGTGGGCGTCATAGGCACTAATGCAGGGTGGAAAAGGGGTTGCAAATCAGTGATAGGGCTGGCCCAGGTGTTCAGGCTGAACTACAGTTATGGGGGGTGGGGCATCTGTTCTCCAACCTCAGCCAATCCCCTGCCTTCCCCGGCCATCCAGAGCACAGAGACACTAGACCAGCATGTTCAAATGTTCAACTCACTTTATTGAAGGGTCCCAGGCGACAAGCGCACCAGGAGAGGCACTTACACCTGCTATGGGGCTCTCCCCAACCCTGGCGTCCACAGAGGCCGCTCAGCTCAGGGCCATCCACCGCCCCAAGGAGGAGGGGGCTTGTTCCCCAGGCCCATCCTGGCCTGCTCCCTGGTGATCTCAGGAACTGTCCCATGGGGGTCCCTGGAGTTCTGAGGGAGGAAGCTTCTAGAATGGTTGAGGCACGTCCCGAGTCTGCTTCTGCGCCTGGGTGTCCCCAGGTGGGACTTGCACAGTCCAGTTGTGCTGTGAGGAAACCCCCAGGCCCCTGTGCCTTTCTGGAGATGTGGAGGGAGGGCCCTCCTAGCACAATGGGCCTGTCACCCCCTGGGGGGCAGGGACTCTGGCACAGACACACACAGCCCCAGGGCGAGAGGACTTGGAGCAGCAAACAGTGCAGAGTGCTCCGGAAGGGACACGCTGAGGTGGGCAGTAAGGGCTGACACCTTAAGTCCGCTTCACCTTGGGACACGGACACCCCACGGAAGCAGCCACACTTGGGACAGCAGGTGCTGAACCCCACAGCGCTGAGCCACGCTCCTGGGGGGACCTGGGGGCTGGGCTGCAGCTCCCTCCTGGGGACACTTCCTTCCTCTCCAGCCATTCCCATTCCCAGGGCAGCTCCTGCACTGGCTGGACCCGCCCCTGTCCCTCAGGGTCCCCTCTGATGCTTGAGTCACTCAGGGGGTGAACCCGGGACCTGCCTCCTCTTGTGCCCCCTGCAAGGCCACTACTGAGGGCCTGGTCAGCCCACGGGACAGGCGGCACAGCTGCTGGGACAACAGGCGTGGGTGGGGCTGGAGAGGAGACCACAGGCCTGAGGGAGGTGAGCTGCCCAGCACAGCCATTGAGGGAAGCCAGAACTCCGGAGCTTATGGGATTGCAAATGGTGGCAAATAATTCAGATTCCTGGAACTCACTGGGCAGCCCGAGTGACAGATTCAGCCTGTGGACAGTAGCAGCTGCCTGGCCTTGGCCTTGAGGAGCTGGGTCACTTGTCTCAGCTGCACCTGAGAGGGGCAGGGCTGGTGCTTTTCCACCTTCTTCTTCCTCCTCCTCTTCCTCCCCTGCCCCACCCTTCCCCACCTGTCCTCCCTCCTCTCCTAGAGGAACTCTCCCTCCCCCAGGAGCTGCCCCCTCTGCCTTTCGACTGCCCCTCTTTCTGGAATCATCTCCTCCCCCAAGCAGGGAGGATCAGCCTTCAGGCGTCCACTCCGTGCAGACACCCACCTCCCAGCTGGGTGGCCCAGGCTCCAACCCAGGCCCCAGGCCCCATGAGACTGGGGCCCGGGGACACGGGCCCACAGACGCTGGCCAGAAGCAGGTGTCTGGAAGGATGGGCGCCTCCCAGAAAGCCTGAAAGAATTTTCTGGCACAGAGAGCCTCCCCACCGCCCCAAGGCCACGCTCAGCCCTGTGCTAACCCGGCGCCGCCCAAAGCCCAGCCCCCCCCCCACCGGGTGGGCACCAAGACGCCGTCCCATCCCCTGGGGCTGCTGCCTCTGGGGTGCCCGCGTGTCTCTCCCTCTTTCCTGGGGACCGCTCCCGCCACCCGCGATGGTGGGACAGAGAGGGGCGGGGGAGGCGGGCGGCCCGCGGCGCGGCGGAGCCGGGGTGGCAGGCTGAAGCCGGGAGGCCGCCTCTGCCGCTGGGGGCGGGGGCAGCGCCCCGGGTGCGGCCGCGCGACTCCGGGTTCCCCTAGCGGCACTTGGGGGGCTGCCTCCCGCCGCGACGAGCCTTCCTCCCGCGGGCTGACTCGGAGCCGGGGGGCGGCTGAGCCCTGGCCTCGCCGGCCTGCACCTGGGCCTCCGCGCCCGCGCGCCCTTTCTTTTTCCCTTGCGCCGCCGCGCGGTCCCCCGCGAGCGTCTCGGGAGTGATCGCCCGCCCGCCGCGGCCTCCGCCTGCCCCTCGGCGTCTGCGGGAGCCCGACGGGCCGGGGGCCGCCGCCATCTCGCCCAGGGTCCCGGAGGCCGTGCGCGCCCGCGTGGTCCGCGCCTTCCCGGACGCCAGGCGCTCGGGTCCCGACTCCCCGCTCTCCGCCGCCTCCGCCGCCGCGCCCTCCCCGGCAGCCAGCAGCGCCAGCACCTCGCCCAGCTGGCCTCCGGCGCGCCCGCCCCGCCCGCCCTCCCGGCCGCTGTCCCCGGCCTCCCGCGTCACCCCCGCCGTGTCCCGCGCGGCCAGCAGCGCCACGAGCTCCAGGAGGCCCCCCTCGCCGTCGTCCCAGCACGCCAGGAGGCCACGCGGCGCCCCCCTGCCCGGGGACTGGGGGTCGGGCGCCGCCAGGGCGCACACGCACTCCCGCAGGCTCCCGCCGCCCGTGGCCTTCCGCAGCACCAGGCCGTCCACCCGGCGGCCGGCCTCCTGCACCTGCACGCGGGCTCCCCCAGTGTCCTGGCACAGGACGGACAGGACCTCGCCCAGGGCATCGGTCGGGTCTGTGCGGGGACTCCAGCCCAGGGACGCGATCACGGAAGCGATCTTCAGCAGCTCCTCGCGGGCCGAGGGGTCCGACGGGTCCGTAGAGGCCACAATGGCCACAAACTCGGGGTGGTCCAGCGCCTCGTCTCCCGGAGCCCCGTTCGGCTGCGACTCGCCTTCGGGAGCGTCGCGGTCGACTGGATCCTCGTCTCCCGCGTCTCGCACAGCAAGCAGGGCCACTAAGTTGGGGACGCGGCTCCGGGCATCGCCGCTGCCACCGTTGCTGTCCAGGCTGACGGCCTGGGGCTCCGAGGCCTCTTTCTCCGTCGGCTCCTGGTTGGCCTCGTCGGTCACCGTCACCAGGGCCAATAACTCGCGGGGCCCCTCTCCCGTGTTGGCGCGGCCCTGCAGGGCCCACTCCTTCGTGCTGAGCTCCCTCTCAGCCTGGTGCAGTGTGGCGGACAGCGCGCTCTGAGCCTGGTCCGTGCTCAGGTCGTCCTGGTCCAGCTCCTCGAGCACGATGCCCAGGCTGCCCTCGGAGGAGGCGTCAGACTCCCACCTGGCAGATGTGGGCGGCTGCTCCTGTCCCTCGGTGCTCTGGCCCCTGGGGACCCACCTGTTGCCTCTAGCTCTGTTTCTGCGAGCCCTGCGGCCCCTCCTAGGAGGTGGGCCAGCCCTCTTGGCAGTTGGCTCTGAGTCCTGGGCCTGTGTCTCCGAGGCTGGAGAGGGGAGTGTGTCCCCGGGGGGCCCAGGACCCTGTGGCCTATGAGGGCCTGTCATCCAGCATCAGGTGTCTCATGGGCCTTAGGACTCCTGGGCCCTCCGCGGGGTCCTTGCCTGGGATCTCCCTGGGGAAGACGCATGATTTATGTCCTGCACAAACTCTGCCAGGGCAGCCTTGGCCTCGTGGTCCCTCTCGGCCCTGGTGTTTCACAGCCTGAACGTGCCCAGGGTTAGGAGGGCTGGCTGCAAGAGAGCCTCGATGGCGGCCGCTCCAGGCCCTCCGGGATGTCGAGTTCCAGCAGGGCCCGGTGCGTGTCCACATCCAGTACCTGGCACCAGTTCTGCAAAAGGTTCACGGCCATGGTGCTGCCCACTGTCTGGCGCCAATGGCCACTGGGGTGGGGGGGGGAAGCAAGCCTGGGGCGGACTTGGGCTGTGGTTCTCCGTGCCTGTCCTGATACCCCCTCTCCTGGGCTGTTGGAGAATCCACAGGGGCTTAGGCTTCTGCTTGCTGGTTTGGCCTGTCTTGTTGTGGGCCTGGCTGACAGCCCAGCCAGGATGAAGCTCTCTGGGAGCAACAGCTCCCCCCCCCTCCACCGCAGCTGCCCCCAGCGGCAGGGAGCTCCTGATTGAGGATCGCTGGTCTCAGGCTCCAGCCAAGTGTGAATGTTCACCTCCTTCTTCTTCTTCCAGATGGGGTTCTCTCTTTCCCAACCCTAGTGTAGGCAGCACGCTTGGGCTACTGATGCTGGCTCGCATCCCTCTTCCCCCCATTGGCTATTGCGATTTCCATGACAACCATCTTGAGGCGGTTGCCAGGGCCTGGGCAATTGTTTGAAGAAGCTCACTGGGACCTTTCATGATTCAGGGACGCAGGTCTCACCCCAAGAACTAGGTGTCACTAACCCCGGGACACATCTCAGGGAACAAGGCTTTAATGGCGGGGGGGGGGGCTTACTCTTGTGAAACAGAGAGAGCCACAGGCAGAGGGAGAGGCAGAAACACTCGGTTCTGATCAGGGAGCCTGATTCGGGGCTCAATCCCAGAACCCTGGGATCAGGACCTGAGCCAAAGGCAGACGCTTAACCAACTAAGCCACCCAGGTGCCCCCAAATCATCAATTTCTTTCCTCTCAGCTTACCTGGTGGCTGGACTGTCAGGCTGTCCTGCACACACCAGGACTCACAACTTGCCTACTGATGGGGGTGCTGGGGGTGGTGCAGGGGAGGGGCAGGGAGCCTGCCTTTACTGACCACCTGTTGGTATGAGACCTAGAGTTCCTGGAGAAGCCTTGAGAACTTATGGCAAGGGACGCCTGGGTGGCTCAGTCAGTTGAGCGTCGGAGTCTTGATTTTGGCTCAAGTCATGATCTCAGGGTTGTGAGATTGAGCCCTGAGTAATCAGGCTCATGCTCAGTGGCGGAGTCTGCTTCTCTGCCTCCCTCTTCCTCTCCCTCCTCCAATAAAAAAATAAATCTTTAAAAAAGAAAGGAAGGAAGGAAGGGAGGGAGGGAGGGAGGGAGGAAGGGAGGGAGGGAGGGAAGGAGGGACGGAGGGAGGGAGGGAGGGAGGAAGGAAGGAAGGAAGAAAGAGTGAACCTAAGACGGGGTGCCCGGGTGGCTCAGTGGGTTAAAGCCTCTGCCTTCAGCTCTGGTTGTGATCCCAGGGTCCTGGGATTGAGCCACCGGCTCTCTGCTCGGCAGGGAGCCTGTTTCCTCCTCTCTCTCTGCCTGCCTCTCTGCCTGCTTGTGATCTCTGTCTGTCAAATAAATAAGTAAAATCTTAAAAAAAAAAAAAAAAGAGTGAACCTAAGGTAAGTGGTGGGTGCCGGGTCTGAGAAACCAGGAAGACCCTTTCCCTGTCCCCTCGAGCCCTGGCCCAGCCTTGGAGCCAGAGGTCATGCCTGTGATTACAGTGACTGGAGTGACAGGAGAGGGAGTGAGTGCTCTGACTGGCCAGGCTTGGGTGTGTGAGGACCTCTACCCGGTTAGAGGTAGGGGAGGGGACTCCCCAAAGAGAAATGAGGTGAACCAGGTAGGAGCTGGCGGGGAGTGGCCACTGGGCTGGAAAGCAGGAGACTCTCTCCCAAGGGGATGAGGGGCAGTGGTGAGAGTCACTGTACCTGGACTGGGGAGAGCCTGAGAGGAAGGATGGGACCTTTCCTTGCCTGGGGATATTTTGGAGGGAGAGTCTCTAGATCCCTGGTTGGAGGAAGAGCATTTGCCTCCTTAGGTACTCACTGAAGTCACCCCCAGCCGGGAATTCATTCATTCAGTGTCTCTCTAGTCTCTAGTATCTGTTCTGGGACCCACCTGTGCAAGTCGCTGGGGATGGTGTTGACTGAGCCAGGCATTAACTCCTGAAGTTCATAGCTGTGATCGCACAGGGACGTGAGCACTTGCAGGGGAAGGCCTGGATTTTCAGGGGAGGGGAATGTGCCTGAGTGGAGGCACTGTCAGGGCCAGGCCCATGGGGACTTGTGGATATGACCAAGGAACAGAAGTCTTTGTTGGGTCCCCAGAGCTGGAAGCTTCACTACAGTTTAGGTGCTGTGTGACCCTGGGAAAGTTGAACAACATCTCTGAGCATCACTTTCCTCCATTATAAGCTACTAAGAGTGGCTGTGTGGACTGAGGCACTTGGAAGCCTTAGCACAGTGCTGGGGTTCAGTAGGACTTCAGGTAGCCTTAGGTAGCCTAAACTGGCCATAATCCTCCTCTAATTGGTTTTGTCTGTAGGCGAGGCTGTGGCGTCGCATGAGGGATTTGTTGGATCAGGGCGCCCTCTGGTGGGAAGAGGGAGACAGTTCAGGGAAGAAAGGTGGAGCTATGAGTTGGAGATCACCTTCCTCCCTCTCCCTTCTCTCCCTTCTTCTCTGCTTTCTTTCCTATCTCCCTCCCACACACACTCCCACAGGACATGCTCCCGCCTAGCTGGAGGTCCAGAGCTGACTGAGACAGCCCAGGCCCCGTCCGTCTGGGGTTCACAGTCCGATGGTGGGTGGGGAGTGGGGGACCCACTCGGGAAGTCCTCCTGAGTCCTCCTCCCCTTAACGCGGGAGCCGGTGTCCCAGCCTGGAAAGATGCCCCGGAAGGAGGCTGGGACCGCAGTGCCACGGTGAGGAGCTTGTGGTTCAGAGAAGGGGAGAGGCAAGGTCAAGTTTATGATGTCTTGGGGAGGACGAATGGTGGATGGATGAATCTCTGAAGGCAGGAGTGGACCCGGGGAGGAGGCTGGGGGTGGGGGGAGGGGGAGGGAGGCGCCAGAGCCCCTCCCCATCCCAGTTTGAGAGAGGAGCTCCCCTCGTCCCCAGTCTGGTAGTCAGTCTGATGGGGCTCTCCAACACACACCTCCAGACCTGGCCCAGGTCTCTGCTCCCCAAGCAGAGCTCCGGCTGGTGGTGGCGCCCCCATCAGCCAGAGGGTCTGCGCTCCCTGCTTCCCCAGGGCGAGTTCCAGTTGGCGCTGGTGGGCCTGAGGGAGAGTCTGGCCGGCCACTTGGCTGGGGATGGGGGGGGGGGGTACGGGACCGGGGGAGGCTCTGTCCCTGTATGGGGAGAAAGACTTCCGAGCTCCCACAGCGGAGTGAGAGGTAGCGGAGCCTAACAAAGAGTTGTGCAAACTCCTTCGGAGTCAGAGAACCATGAACCATCACTTTGCACTTGAGAAACAGACGAATCTTTGAAGTCTGGATAATGTCCAGTTTGGGGAGAGGGCTTGGGGGGCTCAGGAATTCTTAAACGCTGATGATGCGCACGTGGGCGGGGACAGCCATCGCACAGGGTGACTTGCAGGGCTGGGGAGAGTTAGCAAGACATGGACCCTACCTCTCGGAAGTCCTGCTTGTGGGACGCATACCAGGACCGTCTCATTCAGCATGGAAGGATGGTGTGAGGATGTTTTGCGGTGTGTGGAGGAAGAGATGGAGACAGGTGTGTGCCAGTTACTTTTTCTTTTCTTTCTTTTCTTTTTTTAAGGTTTATTGATTTATTTGAGAGAGACTGAGAGTCCGTGGAGCAGGGGGAGGGGGAGGAGCAGAGGAAGAGGGAGGAGCAGAGGGAGGGGGAACCAAGCCGACTCTGCGACTCTGCGCATGTGCAGAGCAGAGCGGTAGCCTGATTAGGGAAGGGGGCTGGATCCCAGGACCCTGAGATCATGAAATCAAGAGTCAGACACTTAACTGACCGAACCACCCAGGGGCCCCTCTGCCAGTTACTTCTGCCGTGCACCAAGTCATCCACAATTTAGTGGCATAAAAACAACATCTGTTTATGCACATGGGTTCAATGATGAAAGTGGACAGTGGGAACAGGGTCTCTCTGCTCTCCAATGTCTAGGGCCTTAGCCATGGTGACTCCAAGGTCAAAGGTCTGGAATCACCCAGAAGCTTGACCTCTCATGTGTTCAGTGCCTGGTTTGGGGTGACTTGAAGACTAGACCTAGCAGGAGCTGTAGACTTTTGTGCCCTCATGTGGGCTGTCCACGGGAACTGGGCTTCCTCACAGCAGGGCAATGGGGTTTCAAGGAAAAGCCTTTTATCCCTGGCCTGGGAAAACCCAGAGCATCACTCCCACCACACTTTATCAGTGGGGGCAGTCACGAGCTTGTCCAAGTTCAGGTTCAAGAAAATAATGTGGGCCCCACCTCTAGAGGGGACAGACTTGCAGCCATGTTTTATTTTGTTTTATTTTAAAGATTTTGTGTATTTATTTGAGATTGAGAGAGAGAGAGTCGGAGAACATGAGCGGTGGCAAAGGCAGAGGGAGAAGCAGACTCACCACTGAGCAGGGAGCCTGACATGGGGCTCGATCCCAGGACCCCAGGATCATGACCTGGGGCTAATGCAGACACTTAACCCACTGAGCCACCCAGGCGCCCCCAGATATAGCTTTGATGCCCTCAAACAGCAAAGCGTGATTTGGAAGAACATGTGAGAATAAAAGGACATGGGAACAATAGAAAGTGAAAAGAGTTGCCCGGGCTAGGGGAAGTATAGGGCAACTGGCTGAAGATCCAAAGGCATTTTAAGGAGCGGGAGGCAGGAGGAGTCCACAGCTCCTTGGGTGTAAACGTTCTGAAAGGCAAGCCAGCCACCATGATTCAGGCACCAGGGAGTTAAGTGTGTGTTTTGTGTGTGTGTGTGTGTGTGTAGGATGCGCTGATATGGTTTCTTTGGCAACGAGGATGGAGAGAGGGGAGCAGAAAGACAGAGGAGTGAGGACAAACCTGGGAATGCACTTCACTCCCATGATTCAATTAGAACTCCCTAGAAAGAAACAGCACCCCCCCAATCTTATCTGGAGGGCTCCCTAGGGACATTGTGTTGTATCTCTAACACAGCGTTCTCGAACTCTTTGGTCTCAGAACCTCTTACATTACTGAAAATGATCAAAGACTTCCCAAAGAGATTTTGTTTATGGGCATTCTACCTATGGATATTTCCTGTATGAGGAATTTCTGTCAAGAAATCAAAAGAATACTCACTGACGAACTCTTTTTAGAATAGCAATGCGTATTTGTTACAGGTTTGTGTAAAGAACACATTTTGTTTAAATAGCTGTATTTTCCTCCCAGAAGATTAATTGTTAAGTTCTTCCAAATCCTCTTCATGCCTGACTTGATGGAAGGTGCTGGAACCTTATACCTGCTTCTGCATCCAGTCAGTTGCAATAGTGCTTTCCAGGTAGCCTTTGGATGATTCCCCTGCACACTTGTGAGAGAATGAGAGTGAAAAAGGCAAATAATGTGTTAGTACTCTCATGAAAACAAGGTTGATCTCATGGACCCCTTGAATTGCCTCTGGGAACCCCTAGGGGTTCCTGGACCACACTTTGAGAACCCCTGCCCCAATGGTGCTATTACCACTTAACAAGCAGGCTCAGGCTTCCCCACCGTCCCCGCCCAAACACGGAGAGGTGGGAGAAGAATTGTGCAAAACATTTGCTATGCCTTCCTCTTCCAGCTGTTTCTATGGGAATGGAAGGTGGCAGCCAGGGCTAGGCAGGACATTTGGGTTTCCCATTGACCTGCCTGGCTGGTGACCATTCGATCTGCTCATGAGGTTTAGTGTTCAAGGCCCACTCTGATTCTGGACCCTGGAGCTCCTGCAAAGCTATAGGGACCTTCAGCTCCTGGACACCAGTCTGCTTCTGGAAGTTTCTGAACATCTCTAGTTCTCTACTTGGCTTCTGGGACCATGTCCCCACCCACTCAGTCCTGTTCCCTGCCCCATCAGGAGAGGAATGAGCAGGACTTTCTCTGAGGGACAGAGCAGCTAGAAAGGGGAATGAAGAGGACAGATCCTCACACGTACCATTCGTAACTAAATGTGGATTTAGAGCTAAGAGGGGGCAAGCCAGATGGAATTATGAAGGAAGTAAGCCGGGAGGGGGGCCCTAGAATGAAAGCACACATAGTCACCGGTGATTAAAACCATGTTTAAAAAGACGCATGGTTGGGATGCCTGGGTGGCTCAGTCGGTTGGACGTCTGCCTTTGGCTCTGGTCATGTTCGAAGGGGTCCTTCCTTGCTCAGCGGGGAGGCTGCTTCTCCCCTTTCCTCTGCCTGCTGCTCCTCCTGCTTGTGCTCTGTCTCTCTACCAAATAAATAAAATCTTTAAAAAAGTAAAAAAAAAAAAAAGAAATATAGAGTATTTAATATCTCATTATCAACTGTTTCATATTGATGGCATATGCAAATGAGCATATTTTGTATACCTTCGGATACATGAAATCTATTCTCTCTCTCTCTCCTTTTTTTTTAAAAGACTTTCACCTGTTTCTTTTTATTGACTGAGGGTGGCTGGTGGCAAATTCAACACTACATGTGTGTCTTGCATGTGGGGCTCAAATTAGATTTCTGACAATTTTGCTTGGGTAACAGCCATTTGGGGATCAGGAGGGTAAAAGAAGAGAAAAGCAGGGAAAAGAAGAGCTACAAGTGGGGGTTGGTAGGGGAGTGAGTAAGCAGTCTGGTTTGCCCTAGGCCCCGTTGCCATGGTAACTTTGCTGTAAACTCTCTTCTGACATTAAAAAGAGAGGAGCAAAAAGCCAAGGTGTTTTGATTTCTTATTTATTTAACACATGCTTATATAATGACGAGTTCTCAATAAATAATTTCCATAGCCACTCTACTATGGAGGATCAACTCTGGGCCAAAGAATGTCTCTTCCAAGTGTTTTCCTGGATCACGTGCTTTAACCCCCATCAGGGGCCTATGAGGTAGGGTTCATGGTCATTGTCATTTCACTAAGGAGCAAACCTGGCCTGGAACTGCTCAGGAATCTTTTCGGAGTGGGGTGGGCGCCGGTGGGAGCAGGAAGGGCAGCTGGACCGCAGAGCCTGATTTGCATAGAGTGGGCGGGACAAAGGATACAAAGCAAATGTGTGTTTCGGAGCAGCTATGATATTCACGTGTCCCAGCCAGCGGGGGAAACGCTTTCTCCAGGAACTGGAACTCACGTCCGGTCTCCGGACTGATCCTACTGATCCTACACCTATAGGAGGCACACACAAAACCCAGCTTAGTTGCAGTGCCATTTCTGATACCGGAATGGGCTCAAGAATGAAGCCTGGTCTAGGGGAGCTGGGCCTGTGTACCCTGAGGCCTGTGTACCTAGGCTGAAGCCTGAGTGACCCCGCAATTCCCAACAAGGCTTCTCTCCCCAGAGTGAGTCTCCGGACCACGCTGTATGAGGCCAGGACCCCCGGACTTAGGTCTCCTCTCCTGACCTCCACCTGTCCTCTGGGGAGGGGGGTTACAACCCGCTGAAGCATGTCCTCTCCTGAAGTCCGCCCCGCGCCCCCACCATCCTTTGAATGAGGTCGGGTCACCCTGACGGATGTCTCGTTGTCCCCCGTGAATTTGGCTTTTGTGGGTTCATCAATGAAGGTGGCACTGCCCAGCCCCACGTCCTCCTTTCCTCAGGCCCTTTAAGAGCGGCTCCTTGGACCCCAGCGACACAGACCCCCAGCTCCAGCCGGCCGCGTTACCACGGAGACCAGGCCCGGCTGGGGGAGGGGCGAGCCCGGGCGCGCAGGCGTAGGACCCAGCAGCCCGGTCGCAGCGCAACTGCTCTGACTGGAGCGGAGGGTGAGCGCACAGACTCGGCCAGAGCCCGGCTCTCCTCCCCCTGCCGCGGCAGGTGACCACGGTGGCGCCCTCCCCTGCACCTGGATGAGGTCGCATCACTGAGGCCATTCTCAGGGACAAATATCGGAGCAGCCAGGCTGGCGACATCCCTGGAAGTGACTCCTAAGCCCCTCTGCGGATTTTCCAACGGCCCCAGAGAGGGGGCATCAGGCCAAGCTGCTGCGTCAGCTGGTTAGAGGCGACAAGAGCCTGATCCAGAGGCCCCAGGACTTGCCACGTTCCCCTGAACCTGAACTCCAAGGCTGCGACACTGTTCCAAGGCGGGATTTGCACAGCGAACCGCAGTCCACGTCCGCCCCAGGCTTGCTGCCACGCGGCCAACGGCACCAGCCAGCAGGCGGCACCATGGCCGTGAGCCTTTTGCGGGACTGGTGCCGGGGACTGGATGTGGACACGCACCGCGCGCTGCTGGTCACCGGCATCCCAGAGGGCCTGGAGCGGGCCGCCATCGAGGCTGTCCTGCAGCCGGCCCTCTTGCCCTTGGGCACATTCAGGCTATGGAACACCAGGGCCGCGAGGGACCACAAGGCCAAGGCTGCTCTGGTGGAGTTTGTGCAGGACATAAATCATGCGTCCGTCCCCAGGGAGATCCCGGGCAAGGACGGAGTCTGGAGGGTTGTGTGTCAGGACCCTGCGGAGGACCCAGGAGTCCTGAGGCACATGAGACGCCTGATGCTGGATGACAGGCCCTTGAAGGCCACAGGGCCCTGGGCCCCAGAGAACACGCTCCGCTCTCCGGCTAAGGAGACACAGGTCCAGGCCTCAGAGCCTACTGCCAAGAGGGCTGGCCCACCTCCTAGGAGGGGCCGCAGGGCTCGCAGAAACAGAGCTAGAGGCAACAGGTGGGTCCCCAGGGGCCAGAGCACCGAGGGACAGGAGCAGCCGCCCACATCTGCCAGGTGGGAGTCTGACGCCTCCTCCG